GCGAATATTTACTAACTTAAAGCAAGCTTCGATCTTTTCCGTACCGCGTAAACCATAGTACTTAAAAAAAATAATTATAAAGCCTTAAACACAAGATTACAGTAGCAAATAAACAACTTAACTCGCAAACTTGCCTATATTAATTTTAACCTAAATAACCTAAAGTTATTTATTTATATTAATGCTTCGTTTACTAATAATAAAGATTTTAGCTCTTAAATAGGTTATATTATTATTTTCGCAAACGAGCATTTAATTACCTATTATATATAACATCCTACTATTAAGTTAATAGGCAACATTATTCACTAGTTTTTAACTAAATGCAAAAAAGTTACGAAATTAGTTCTCGCGTTTAAAGTATATAAAATAATATATAGATTCGATATAAGGTATTATATAACTGCTACTATTAACCAAGTCATAAAAGCGATTAACTACGTACGTAAAAACAAAACATATACGACAAATATCCTTATCGTAATATATACCGACTCGTACTCCTTATATAAAGCCATTATTAAACTAGGAACTATTGTTAAAAAGCGCTTTATAATTAATATTATGGCTTTCCGAAAGTCGTACGAAAAAAGCGAAATTAACGAAGTTCGTTAAATTAACGAAAATAATAACCCCGCTAATGCTATAACGAAAACAACACTTAATAAGGCACTTAAAAAACTGGTAAATAATAACAAAATTATTATCAAAATTAAAGGATTAATCGAGCGAAAAAAATCAACGAAATAATAATAACGACCGAAACCGAACATAATACTTTCGCTATTAACTCGGTTTTAAAAATAACCGCAGAAATAGCGTTTTCAAAGTTCACATACCTAAAATGCCATAATACTCCGTATAATATAAATATAAAAGCAAAAAGAACTAATAAAAACACGTCGGTATCACTTTATATATATATACAAAATATAAAGCAGTATAATAACATAAAGCCATATACTATTATATTAGGTAGTCGGCGATAGTTATATATGCCAAAACAGAAAAACTGCCAATATTAGTACGTACTATAGCACACCAAATACGCTAGCTAGTTAGCATATACGACCGCTGCCTACGGTAATAAGACTATCAGCTGCGAAGCAGCTATTAATTATATAATATACCGCCTTACCAGTTTAAAGTAAATAGCTATTTGCAAAAACCGCTTCTACGCTTTCCTATTAATAAAAACAATTATCAACCAGAATCTGTATGCCTACGTAGCACAACTACGTACCGTACGGTAATAAGTTGACCTAACATTTAAAATAATATAGTTAAAAAATTACGGCTTTCCGTTATAAAAAAAATATACCGTCGTTTTTAACGTTATTATTACTATTAAAAAAGCTGTTAAAAAATTTATAAAATTATTTTAAAACATAGCACTTATTTTTAGGAAAAAATTACTTTTAAACAAATTAAACGCTATTACTACTTTTTTTATAACGTTAATAAAGTCGGTAAAAGCATTGTTATTTAAAAAATTAAATCTAATACGTTTTAATATAGCCGAAAACGCCGTTATTAATAAGTCCGTTATATAAAAGCCTTTAACTGCTTAAAAAAAACGAGCTTTAAAAGCTTTTAAAAATTTAATAAATAACCGTTTAATTGCGTAATTGTTTAATTTAGCTAATATTTTTTAAAAAAAGCCTAAAAAGCTAATTATAAAAGCTATTAAAATAATTAATAAATTAAGCTTTACGTAAACGTAAAAAAATTATTTATATAAATATATCGCTTATAATATAATTAATATTAAAGTTATATTAAGTTTAAAAAATAACGAAAATGCTTTAAAAAACCTTTATATAAAGCTATTAAATAAATAAATTAACGTATTAATAAACCCCTTTTAAGCATTTATATAACGTTAAAACGTCGATTTTTGCTGTTTTTTTACGTTAAGCCTTAATAATTACGGTTAAATATTCGATTTGCTATACCGGCAATATATATTTGCGTTTTTTCTTTTATTAATAACTTAGCTATTAATTATTTAGCCTTACTATATTATTATAATAGTTTTTTTATATAGCTTAAACAATTTACTTTTTAAATTCTATATATAATACTTTTTTATAAATATTATTAAAGCCGTTAAAAAAACTTACTATTATTTAAGCCTTATTAAGCTAACGTAGTTTATTTAATTTAAAAAACGCTTATTTTTAATAAAAATAAGCTATTATTTTTAATTTCGCCGTTAATTTCGTTATAAAAATCTTTTAAATCTTCGATTTGCTTAAATATAACGAAATTATATATTATAGCAAAAACGTAAATAAATAATATTTACGTTTTAACGCTATATTTAGCTATAAATTAACAAACGATTTTTTATTTCTTTTTAAATATATTAAAAAGCTTTTTAACCGTTATTCGTAATAATAAATGCTTTAAATTATATAATTCGTAATAATTTTAAAGCATTTTTTAAAAATTACCCCATTTTTTAAAATAATACTTTATATTTATATATAATATTAAAAAGCCGTAACTAAATAAATAACTAATATCGGTAAAAAAAAATTTACTATTTAATACGTTAAACTTTTAAATTTTAACGTAATTTAATATTAACGTATTATATATATTACTTTCGTACTTAATATATAAATACGTAAAAATATTATTAAAGTTATATATTACGAAGTAATTTAATAATAAAAAGCCTTTATAATATTTATATCGTTAAAATTTTTATTAATTAATAAAAGCACGAAATTATACGCTATTTATAGCATTAATATAATAAACAAAATAAAGCTATCGTTTTTAATTTTCCTTTATTTCGCTAATAATAATGTTTTTATTTTTTAAGCGTATAAAATCGCTTTTTAATATTTATAAAGCCTTTATTACTTTATAAAAAATGCTACTAATAATGCCGGTAAAATAACGCTAATATAATTTAGTATTACGTTAAGTTTTATTAAATGCGTAAATTTAAAAAAAAATTATAAGTTTTTAACGCTAAAATATCGTTTAACTATTTTTAAACTAAATATTTTTAAAAAACTATAAATTTAAAGCTAAAAACGTTTTTTTTCGAATACGAAAGCTATTTTTAAACTTAATTTCGCTATAATTAATAAAATAATAATTTACTAAATTTTTACCGCTAAATATAATAACGTTATACGATAAATTATTAATTACTAAATTACTTTTTAAATCTTTATTATAAAATTAATTTTATAAGGCTTTTTCTTTTTTAGTAACAATATTTACTATAATTAAAGCAGTAATATATAATAAAGCTATTCGCGCTTTATTTTTATCGTTATTATCGGCCATTTTTAAAGCAAATTTAAGTCGGCGCGTAAACGTTATTTTTACTATATTTATATAGTTTTTTTAAAAAACGTTATCCGTTATATAAAATTAACTATATAAAGCTTAATATTAATACTAGCGACGTATATTTACGTAAATCTATTTAATTAAGTTTATATAAATATACGTTTTGCTATTTTTTAATTATACGTAGTTTATATATTTAATACGTTACGTTATTACTATTTTTTTAAAAAATAAAAAAAAAAAACACTATAACTTTATATTTAATATAAAAATAAAAAATAAAAATAGGCTAAATAAAAATATAACCTATTTAAAAAGTTTATAACTAGTAAAAAAAACACTAATTACGGACTTTTTAAAATATAAGGCTTAATCTCCTATTTAAGGTTTAATTTTCCGTACTAAATCTAGTTATAACTAAAAATCAGGGGGTATACAAATAATTATTTATATAATATTTAATATAAAGGTATAGCTCGAAGTAACCGCTAATACAGTAAAAAATCGCTGCCAAAAGTAGTATAGTTAAGCGGAGATATAATAAAATAATACATCCCGTCGATCCCTCCAGTTATGACTGGCGGTGGCGAAACACAGCCGTAGTTTGACGACATTCTCTTGCCCAGTCGGGAGAGAGAATGCTTAGCGTTGTCGCGGGGTTGGAATGTGAAAACTTCGTCTATGGGTGTTGCTTTGGTGCGACCAATTACGTGTGCGTGCCGAGCCATCTTGAAACGCCCTCCAACCCATGACAGGCCGTCTTGAAACAGCAGCAAGGTTGCTGAATCTGCGGCACAACAATGTCGAGCTTTGACTCGCTTCAGCATCGGACAGGGTCAGAGCAGGGTCTCGCAGGGGGTTGGCCCCATGAACTCGTGGTCTTGGTAGTATTGGTCCGTTCCATTCCATCCCGCTATGATTTACATGCATGGCCACGTCCGACTTACGTATTCGTTGTGAACAACTGCACACATGGGGTGATTAATCGCGCGCAGCGATGGTCGACGAGAATTACGAAATTCAGAACACGCCTCGACCATCGTGAAACGCGCGCATATGTTGTGCTTGTTTGGGAATGTAACAACGACCATTGGCAACTGCGTTGCATCATTAGATCAGCAGCACCACTGACAGACTTGGAAGGACGGTGGTGAAGGGCACGATGATCTGATGGAACTGGTTCTTTTTATAGAGATAGTCCGATCGAGCAAACTGTCAGCCGAGCCAGCCGAGCCAGCACTGCTAGTAATACCGTAGCCAACAAACTTGAATGATCAGATAGAGGTATGTGCCTATATGTCTCATTAACAGCCGAGGAATCACGGCAGGTTGCGATACAAAACTGCATTTTCCGCAATTCACGTTCGACCCCACGTGCAGTTTCGAACCCAATTCATGTGGGTTTGAGGCTTATTCTCATCCAATTACCGACGAAATGCATGGTCAACTGCCGTCGGCTTGTCGAATACCACCTACTGATAGCGGGAAAGCTGGAAAGTTGGACGTTCAAAACTGAAGAGATCTCGCCTACTGAGTCCCTTTATGGTAGGTAGCTCCGCTCGCTTCCGTCTTCGTGGTTCGGGACCCTGTCCACAAACTCCGGGACCACGAGAGAATTGATACTGACTTGAGAGTTAGCAACATAATAGAAATTAAGGACTGATAAATCTCAACCTCATAAGCCTGGTCTGCTAGCTCAGTTGGTTAGAGCGTCGTACTAATACTCCATTCCATGGATTATCGGTAATGCGAAGGTCATGAGTTCGACCCTCATGTGGACCATCGTTCATTCTTTTGCTGTATTTTGATGTTTTGATATGATAATCCTTATGGACTATTGGTTGTTTTTCCCCCTACACATGTTGAGCTAGCGTGATAGCAATACAACTATGCAAGATTATTAGCACTATATTGATTTTGTTTAACGTGAGAGGACTTGCAATGATTAAGATTTGGCGTCAGTTTTGATGTTTGTTATTTCCACAATTGCGGACGCAGGATTGCCTGAGGCTTCCATCTTTCCCTATCTTTCCAGTTGACTTGGCAGAACATCTCTGACTACCTTACGGTCCTTACCTGCGTCGCCTCGCTGCAAAGTGATTACCCAAGTCGTTTTACAAAGAGAAATTTCCGCGTACATGCAGCCCCGCATTGGTTTGTCTATGTTCGATGAGTGATCGTTTCGCTTTTAGAGACGAGACATCTCATCACTGGTAGTGATGGCATCGTATCAGAATGTTAGGCTTACTTTCCATAACGGCATGTTAAACTCCATAACCCGAGACCAAGATCTCTCACCTGCTCCATATTTACCTATAATCGATTGTCCTATCGATTGTCGTCTGAGCGGACGGACAATGCGAAGAGTCCTACCAAGCCTTGGCTCGCCCTGCCTTCTAGGACCGTCCCACTCCCGTCTCTCACAGTCGCACGCCTTGCTTATTCCGTAGACCGGATCATAGGCAGATCGCGGGTGGATAGCTTTTAGAAGCCACATGCAAGTCCTACCCGCCCTGGAAGATGCATCGCGAATGATATGGCGATGGAAATTGATATCTGGTTGTGAGGCTGCTTTCTAGGCACGCAGGGTCACAGTCAAGTGAGACTTCTCTTCCCAGCATGTCATCTGTTGGTGGAGTCTACCTTAGTACCCGGTCGACCACACACCAACCACGCGATGTTGGCCTCGAAAGGCGACCACCCGGCCACCACCATCGCCTTACATCCGGCCTATAGTCTACGTCAATCGCCCGGTGATGGCAGTATTGGGTTTTTCGATCATCGCCAATGCAGATAAATGATTAGCAGCAGAGAGCCAACAAGAGATTGCGTTGCTATTAATATCCCTGCCCGACTCATCTATAACACGCTCAGACGTCGCTGAGCATCAGAACATACATTTAAGAAGACACAACTTCCCTTCATCCTCGTCCGACAACCGCCGTCGACTATTTCGTGACCACTCAGTGTCGGTGTTGTTGAAGAAACGTCATATCCCCGGGTTACCTCCAAGTAGCCCAGAGATGAAAAGAACGGACTAATGAGTTTCACAATCTGCATCGTGGCTGCAAAGTCATCGTCTCCATCTTCTCCAGCAATGGAGTATGCTCTCATCTCGAGTCTAGTCGGCGTGCAATACGTCCAAAGCCGAGCGACTCATTTAGGACTTCAAGATAATCTCTTTAGGACGTCGAATAGCCTCGAGTCCTCTCCCTTGGGTTCGCTCGCTTGGGGACCACCTGCGATGGGGACGCGGCGCTGTGATTGGGTCAAGCCCGAGTCCTGCAGTCAGCACCTCTGCCACTCAGCTCGTCAACAAGGCGCAATGGAGCAACCCCCAGTCTGCCTTGTTGCCTACGTACCAGCGTACCTCACCGAGTAGGGGTTTTGGCCCCCAAAGTCCACCATCTTCTCATCCGACCCATATGGTGCGCGGCGGAACGATTGTATTAAGGCGATGCCGACCACATAGTGCACGGGATCTATCATGGAGGGAGCCTGCTCACCAATGACTGGGTCACTCCCCATCCTGCGGTCATTGCCGCCGTGGAGCGGTCCCAAGGGTACATGTACTGGTACTGGTACCTTTTATCCATGTCCACAAAGCAAAGTCCTACATCGTCATCCTCTACGGTGCTGGCAGCTAAGGTACTCCAGATCTTTAAGATAAAGACATGGGGCGGTGGCGATCGAATCCGCCTTGTAAGATGCTCTCTTTTCCTCAAGCGTAGGTCTGTGCTGTTAGATATTCGTCTTCATGATGCATTCAAAGAAGAGCCTTGCCGCCGCTGAGTCGGTTCCCGTCGACGACGAGGCTACTGATATGGGCCCACGACCGGACCGTCGGCTGTCCATGACCGCCCCGGTAGAACCTACAACTGCACGAAGGCGGTCACTGTCTAGTCTTCGATCCGAATCTCGACCGTCTACCTCCGTTTCATGCATGTAAGGCTGCCTACGTTTCACAAAGAATGTTGTAGGTGTACTAACAGATCCAGCTCTCGAAACGCTATGTCGGGGGAAGACTGCGCCCGGCAAAGGTTTATCGTATGGGCTGCCGTGAAACGAAACAGATCCGTTCGTATGGCGGCGAGCGAACGGTTAAGATGCCCTCTTCTGCGCTGCGGAGAACACTTCGATGGACATGAAGAAATGCTGAGGCATCTTACCCACTGCCAACATCTTTCAACTGGAGAATATGTCTGCTATGAGTGCATGAAAGTTGAACGGTTTAACGATGCCAAGTGTAGATGCTGTTCAGGGTCCCCTACCAAGAGGAGACGCATAATTAATTTGGCGAAACACTTCTTTTCAAACATCGGCAGCTCCAAATCGCGACGAGACATCCACATAGGCATACAAGACGGCCCATCGTGTCCGCCACCCAGTTACGATTCCCTTGTTGACGACGTACACGAACGATATGGTCGAAACGAGACGGAGCACTCCGCCCAGGAAGGAAGACAAGAAGTTTCTTATTATCTGGAGTCGCAACCGCAACAGCCGGAACTAAACAGCACAGAGCTGCTGGAACTAGACTCAAGGCAGCTGTTTCCTACTGCACAGCTAGATGCCGTTAATTATGACCCGCAGCCAGCAACAATATCGAGTGGAACTGATGCAAGGCGAGATACTGCCCCTTTACCGGACGGGAACATGTTGACAGAGGAAGTCGAACAATTAGGCTGTGGAAGGATACCCTCGTTGATTCCGGCGGCGGCGAGCGATGGAGGACGTCGCCCTTCGTTGGCTCTAGATACTCATATGGATCGTTACCGAAGCAAACCCTCGCGCACGGCGTTTCTATCGCCAAGCTCATCACTTCGGTCTAACTCGCACGGCATTTCTCCGATAACTCCCTGGAGTACGAGCTCTGGGTCTTCAGCTTTCTGGTCGGCAGGTCCTACGTTCGATAACTCGACGACATCGCCGATAACGCCCATGAGTGCAAACCCACATGCGACATTCTTACAAGCTGAAAGACTATTTAGCAAAGATACGGATATGAACATGGTTAACTGTCCAGATGATTCTGGTCAATTCGCGTTAGGTGATGTACCAGAACTACCGGGCGATGGTCAGCTGCCATCCGGCATACCGATGGGATTATCAGATCCTTTGATGTTCTCATTCGACCCGAAAGATAACTACTCGTGGATGTCGTCCGTAGACACTGAGATATCCCTTGGCACGTCCGTCAATATGATGTTTACCGATCCTCACCCGAGGAACGCGATGCCTGCAAACTACCTCATGTCTCAAAATCCTGACGGGTCTGAAGTCAAAAACCTTGTCGATGAGGCCTGGCAGTGTCTCCGCCAACATATCTCCAACTCGATAGACAAGTTGAATGGGATCGAAGGTAACGTCTTGGCTGACCAGTTCCGTGCGCAGTCGCCAGGAGCTGTGGCCACTATGGGCCTTGAAGGCTTCAGAAAGATCATGGGCCGCGACTATCTTATCGTGCCAGAGCCCCTTGAATATCTCTGCTTCATCCATTTGATGTACTCTATCTCGCTGCCCATCTACAAGGAAGACCTGATGGGCCGTTCTGACAAGCTGTACAATCAAGCAGTGGCCTATGGAACATTCCTGGATTCTATGTACCGGAGAGACTATCATGAAATCGTTTCAAGAATCTGGAAGCAAGACCCACGTCGACAAGCATCGGAAGGCCGAACCCGCGAATCACAGAGTAGAACATCGAATAGGAAAGGCAAGGAGCCAGATTATCATACGGCGTCGATGGGCGACCCTCTGCTCATCACTGGGCACAATTTTCTAGACAGTCAGCTACTCTCATTCTCCCTGACTGGTATCTACTCACATTGAATAGTCTTCGAGAACATGGCCTTGATCAGCGATACGCCCGAAGTTGTGACATCCGAATTGTACTCTTCGCATATCGCTGAAAGTCAACACAGTCTTCAAGGAAACACTCCGCTTACTATTGCGTCGACCTTCATTGTGGAGGATCTGCGTCGGAACTTTGGAGAGGAATCGTGGTTACGGAGGCTGAAGACGATTGGAGAGAGAGTACAGTCGGGCTACTACCCAACTATTCGAAAACTAGAGCTTGAGCTTCTACAAACAGGGAAGGTGAGCAGCTGCACTCCATTCCGCAATCTGCGGCCTTTCTCGTTTATCGAATCGCCGTAATTAATCATAATTTGACCTCTAGGACTGTCTTGAGTCGACCGAGTTTTTTGATCGTTTTGTCCCCAAGGTCCGGAACCTTTGCGATCAGATCTATTCTCAACACGGAACTCGGCCGCGAGCTAGATATCAACTACTTGCAATATCACTTTTGGATCGTTTATTCCAGAGCATTGCTCGTGAGGAAGCAGAGCAGTCTCAAACAGGAAATACATATTTCCCCATTAACCTGGCGGCACAGTACGATGATGAGTTCCTACAAGGGTTAGACAAGACTTTCTACTACGACACAGGCCCCAGTACGCAACAGTCAGGAATTACCCAAGGACATGCTGATTTTGACCCTACCTTGGACCCAATCGCTCTTCATACGGTTTCCCACGACATACCCTTGACTATTCCCGCCTCAAACCCTACCCTGGCGACTGGCGGGTCTTCCGAGAGCCACAGTGAATCGTACACAATTTCGCCTGCCCCGTTATCAGATGCTCAGCTGGATATGGTAGGGCCAAAGTCCAATCGACCTACACCACCGAGACAGTCCCAAACAGAGCGGGCCGGGGCAGCAGGGCCTTCTGTTCCCTCCCTGACTTCCTCGGGAGCAAAAGTGGAAGCAAATGACTGCT